CTGGCTGCGCCCCACCCTCTCGAGCTACCCCTTCCCCAATACACCACCCCAGCCACACATCCTTGCCACACTAATAAAGATGCACCTTTCTTCCCTCCCCCACCACTATGATGTGCGCATGCACCTTCCCCCCCCCCCCAACCCAGGAGAAGATGGAGCTGAGGTAGTTCAGTAATTTAAGGCCATAAAACATCACAGGGATGTTGTAATTATCCCAGAACCGAGCATTAGAACACCAGGAAAGTCAGCATTAAGCTTAATTTAAAAGAAATCAAACTATGAAAAGACAAGTTAGGGACCCCAAGCAACCTTAACTCTGCCCAGTAATGCCATTCGGGGTTGAGGGAAGAGAACGAAAACTGCATCTATCAATTTCATCTAATGTTGGAGGACAAACTAAAATGTCTTAATTATAACCATATGCTTATTGCATAGCATCACTAGAGGGCAGCATGGACTTTTTAGTCTGTGGCTGTACAGCACCTAGCACACAGGCGTGCTGGTCCACAGTTAGAGCTCCTGGTCTCAGCCAGTTGCTAAAACTGGTGCTGAATTCCCACTAGGGACGTTGACAGTGTCTCTTCAGTTCCTGTCCTAAAATGTTGTGCAGGGCTGCTATTTGCTACTGAACAGCTGCCACGTTCCACCCCAGAGGTGGCTGCATTTCAGTGCTGGGTGAAGTGAAACTTAAGGATATAGACACACACTCATGGACAACTTTGTATATCCATTAGTAAAATGCTTTGGGTGGGAAGCATCATCAAAATGTCACCCATGCAGTAATTCTATTGGTTTAGCACAGACCAAACTGGAACCTGAGAATCGTGCAGGGAGCGGTCTTGGGTGCTCACGTGAGGGCAGAATTTGGACTCCCAACATTCAGATCCTCAAAATGTTCCAAAGCGCAAGGCAGTTCAGGCTGCAAGCGGCAGCAGCCATCACAAACACATAGATGGCCCTCGCAGGCGCTTTAAAGCAAGTGTCCACATGAAACACAACAGCGGCGTCGGCGACAGTTTTAAAAATCCTCAGATTTTATTTCCCCCCCCTCCGTTGTTTGTAACAACTTCTCCCATTCAAAAGCTTACAACTAACATTTCCTTATCCAGCAGGTTTCTGG